GGAATGATATCAGGCGGGCGGGTTGGGTATAGAGCTAAGGTAGGTAGTCGAGAAGACACATTAGGCCATCGCTTGGACACGTAGGAGTATGAACTAAGCCCTATTATTGCAAGACATGCAGCTGTCAGTTCCATGTATCTCAACCAGTATAGTGAGGCTCAAATAAACAGTGCAGTAGTAGGGATCAGTGCATGTCTTGCAGTAGTCGTCGACTGGTCAATGGCAAATGGCAAACGTAATTGTATTTGATCAGCGATAATCTAAGGTTCTGACGATGAATTTCGGCACGTGGATGCTGTGAAACTCTAACCCCCGCGATCTGGTACACCCTCTCAGTCATCCGCTTTCGGGGTCGCCCGGTCTGTGAGGGGAGATGGCTGCATGACGTACAATGCTGGAGACAGATGTTGAACTACAGGTAATTTTGTAGAGTAAGCAGATGCCTTATATCCAATTCCGCAACGCCGCCATCATGGCGTTCCGTTGACAACCGCTAGAGGCCGTCTTCAAGCGAACGTCAAACTGAGTTGGTGGCCGACGAAACGCCCTTTTTTAGTACAGCCTCGTTATCAGAGTCCTACGGGACTCATTCTCCATTCCCCGGCTGGTCTCTCACTCCATTTGAAATCAAGATTTGGGTTTCAGCAAGGACTTGAGTCAGTGAGGCTTGCCAGCTCGACAGCCCTATCATGAACATAGGCAAACTTGACGAGATGAGAAGTCACCCATTGATGTACAATGGATGCTCATGAGAATCATAGTATAGAGCTTCAGCTCAGAGGCACACTGGGGAGAATATCGTCCATAACCAACTTGCGATCTACCTATTCAGGCTACTAGCTAACTTACTGGGGTACCCTTTAGAGAAGGTTGAAAGCTGTATCCGTCCGTACCTTGTCTCAGATGCCAGTGACTTGGGATGCGTGACATGTGGACGAGTACTTGTTGGTCCTCGGAGTCAACGTTAGTGTCCGTGTCACTTGGCGCACTAAGAGCTTGACATAGCTTATCTTGCTTGCTTCACTCAGGGATCTTCGTTTGCCCTACCTTTTCCTCTCACAACCATCCATCCTTTTGCTTATTCAACCTTTACCATGGATGTTGACCGAGCAGGACTCAGCCGCAGCATTCATCGGGGTCCGCCGATGACTTGAAATCAGGCTCGAGTCTGAAAGAATAGAAATACCCCTCGACCTTCCACCTCCATCTCCATCTCCTTTCTTGATAGAGACTTTCTATAGTGCTAGAATATCATGTGAATATTTCCATTGTCAAACCAAGTGCCGTGAAACTCATCAATGACCACAAACACTTCCTCTCAGGCTCTGGATGATCTTGTCAGAGCAACCGACAACTTTCGCGAACAATATCTACACGCTCTAAGAACCCTTCAAGATGGCCTCGTCGCTCGTAGACGAGACACAGCAGAGAGCCATGCTCGCAGCAGCATCTCCATGCCTGAGCCCTACACGCCACCCTTGAGAGCTTCCACTGGCCCAACATTTGCAACAGAGGGCTCTTTGTCTCCTATTTTTCGGCGAGGGCGGGCCGCGACTCTTGAGAGCACAAGAGAGAGACCATCTTTGTCTGCTGAGCCTCAGCACTTTACGGGTTCGCCAAGTGGCAGTCATCGCGCTGTCTTTACGCAGGACGAGGATGTTTCCTTCATTCCTCTCCCTCTCCTGGATAACACTACAGTTACTACCACAACGCGAGAGGTTGAGGACTATCCCGATAACATCGTCAGGGGTCATCTCGACCAGGGAGACTGGGCCGATGGTCAACTCCTCCAGCATCTGAAAACCGAAGATTTCACCCCCGAGGTGGCTCCCTTCCTAGACGACATCATGAAACGACGTTCCGAGATTGATATATCTGTGCCCTTCCGTGAATTTGCGGCGTATGAGAGAGAACAGTATAGTCAGTCCACATTTGAAGTGTACGAGGTTGGCCATAACTGTAAACTCACCAAACTCAGCGCTGACGGAGATGGAGATGGGCAGTCAGATGTCAAGTACACGGGTGAAGGCCCCTACGAGATTCCAGCTGATAATGTCGATGCTCCTACGGTTTGGGAAACAATCAGGGTTGTCAACCAAAGTGGCACATCAACAGGCCGAATCACGTACGTCTTCCATTATACAACACTTGCCGGGCTGGGCTAACGTTTACAGCATCGTCCAAGAGCCTACGCCTCTTATCCTCGCAGCACTTCACTGGACCATGTCTTCACACTTTGATATGAATGAGCTGCTCACTCATCTCCTCTCTGACGAGCCTAACCGTGGCCGTACCCATGCATTCATGACTAGAGCTTACGAGAGGTCTCCCTCCCAAACAGCTTCTCATTCACCCATCGTTGCTCCATCATCGTCAGTCCCGCTCACTGCCAGGCCGTCAGTGTCACCAACCCCTCCTACACCTAACGTTCGTCAGAAGTCTTTCTTCTTTGTGTTCAAGTACTACACGGTTGTCAGTCACCCTCTCGAGCCAGCTCCTTGGCAGCGTTTCGATAAAAGACCTTCAGAAAGTCGTCTCGGAGATCATATTGATATCGCTGAATGCGGCTCTGTATTAGCTCTATCACTCGGCGGTGACTCTCACAAAGCTCCCCCTATGCGTTCGAGAAGAGAGCGTGCTCGAGAAGGGATTCTATTCGATACATTTGGTCCGTGGCAGTTACTTGCTATCCAAAGTTTTCCTGATAATTCTCATACTGTCCGTGGCCCGGAGTTTCAGGAGAAGAAATATGTCAATGGACCATATGCGTTTCTGGACCTACTAATCTCCGAGTATCGTGATGCAACAAAGCGAAATCTGATCCTCCATGAGCGAGTTACCAAGCTCATCACTCCCCCGGTACGTTCACTAGACCCCCATATCTCAACGCCATGCTGATCATCTCCAGACTGAGTTCATGTTTGACCCTAAACTCAGAGACAAGCTGTTATTTGAGGACAAGCACTTCACCTACATCCGAAGGTACTTCTGGGCGTACAACACCCTTGCCGTTGTGAACACAGGTATCAAGTCAATGATCGCGGCATATATCGACACATTTACCGACAGCTTCTGGGCCGGCACCCACCCGATTCTATGGCCACATCACGCAGCTGATTCGCCTGATGGGATTGCCTATAGTAAGCACATGGCTAAGCTGCGCTGTGAGCTTGACAAAGTTGTCCAAGAGCTTACAGAGGTTCTCAAACGCAACGAACGAACCCGTAAGGAGATCGAGAACTTGCGAGATCAGCTCTTCAGTGGAAGCTCCATCAAGGAAAGTCGGAGAGCTATTGAACAGGGCGATAACATCAAAGTCCTCACAATGATCAGCATGATCTTCTTACCGCTTACTTTTGTCACGGTAAGTTCGCAAGGTTTTCTATTCCAGGCTTTCACTAACAACAACCAGTCTGTCTTCGGTATGACGGTCTTCACCGTCCCCGCTACCGACTGGCGTTTTCCTCTGACGATGATCCTCGTCTGTGTCCCCTTTATGCTTCTCGTGACCTTCCTCCAGACACGCTCATTCGGTGTCCTACTGCGCAAACTTGGTGCCATTGGCAGCGCACCTGTTCGTCTCATATCCCAAGCTCGCAGCCGGTCTCGAGAGATCGCAGACGTCCCTGATAATATCTCAATCGCAGCGGCCAGGGTGAGACGAGGTAATGGCACATTGCTCGAGAGGATAGCAGCAAGACTTTGGAGTAAGAGGTCGGCACAGAAGGTTGAGAGGGATGATTTCGGAGGTGTTTAGTCAAGACTATGGTCCTCATGGCGATGTAATCGGTTTCACATTTATATAACGTTCACGGCTTCAAGGCGTCCTCGCTTTCTCACAGGACAACGATATTCAAGTATCATTTTGCCTTGTTACGATTACGATTTATGGTTACGAATTATGAGATACGATTGGCAAGAAATATAGGCATTTAGGCATCTACTATCATGTATCTAGACTGAAATTATCAGACTAACCCCGTTCCATTTTCGATACTGAGTTTCGAATGTATTGTAGAGCTTTGACCCAGTAACGACCAATAAATAGGATCTAGGTATTCCAATAAGCCATAGAAGTATCAACAATAAAGTCTCTGGCCAGACTGAAGTCTCAATAAACTTAATCAATAAGGTTTACCTTTAGGCTGCAGCATCTCAAGCAACTCTAATCAAGATGAACACGTCGCCTGACCAGCTACAGAGCCAAGTTTCGAATGTATGCTTTTCTGCTGAACAAAGCCAGTTGTTTAAGTCTCGTGCTCTGAGAGCTGATACGGGTTTATGCCAGTTTATCCAGTGACGTAGACAGCATTGTCAAATTATGAAAGATGGTCAAAGATATTGGGAGGACATTGTCATGACAGCAACTTTGGCACATGAGTCATAAAACTTAAAACAAATTTTTTTCTTTTCTGAATCCGATTTTCCCATTCGTCGTCTATTCTCACTTGCATAAGATGATCAGTTCTGAACCGTGAGCAAAGTGGCAGTACGGCTTATTGTTCGGTAGCCAGACCGACGTGTGCCAGGGACCAGTTGCATGTTGTCGTATGCAACAGGACGGTAGGAAGCAACGCAGGAGACGCAGGAGAAAAGATAGAACGATATAGTGAAACGGGGTATCCATCGTAACGAATCGTCCATCCATTCTGTCCATCCGTTATCCCCGAGGTCATACCCGTCCAAAATTGGGATGATCTGCTGTTGCCAGTGAAGTGCTGTATTAAAATGAAACCCGTCAAAAAGAAGACGCCGTGCCGGACAGTGGTTGAACGGTATAAGCCGCCGTAACACATAAAAAAAGGTACCAACGTCAACTCGCCAATAACTGTAGACACCCCGTCCGATCAAAAAAGAAATGCTCGCTCTGTTTGGGACCATTCAGGCCCTTGTTGGCAACATGGCGATCAAAAGAAGAAACAATCGTGCTTTCGTGACGTCGTAAACCGCTGGTAGGCTGGAAAGGTAGAAAGAAGGTGATACGGGTGTTACTTGCAATATCAACCCTCATCCTCATCTTCATCCCCTGGGCTGGCTATGTCCGTCTTAGCTTTCTTGTTTGAGGTGGCCGAGCCGGCTTCAGACTTGCGCTTTGTTCCCGTAGTGCCAGAATTCTCCCCAGCAGAATTATCTTGGCCATCGACACTCTTTTCACCCTCGCGATCCATTGCTGCCACCTCCTCGGCAGTGAGGAAGCGTCCACCAGGGCCGCGAGGTCTGCGCATGGCATGATTATGGCGTGACTCGTGAAGATATGGCTTGCGTCCTTTAGACGTCAGTCGGAGCTGTTCCTCAAGTTTCTGTCGAGCAACGCGACGCTTGAGAATACGATGAAATTGCTTAGCATTCACATAAAGTGGCGACTCCTCCGCACCACTCGCAGCTGGCATTTCCGGAGACTGCGGGTGTTGCATCTGGGGAGCGGGCATCTGGGGAGCGGGCATCTGAGATGGGGCAACGCCTGGTCGAGCACCGGCATGGCTCATCATGGGCGCCGTCGGAACGCCGGGACTCGTCACCTGGCTCATTCGACGGCCTGGTATTTGGGACATGCCGTTCATTCGAGGTGATTGTTGCCCGTCTTTTTTAGCATTGGCACCCATGCGAGGCGAACTTTGAGGAATATTGGGATCTGAGGACATATAGCCATAGTTGGTGCCAGAAGCAGCGGCGGTTGCTGCCATCGCGGCCGCCTGTATACCGGGCATCGCATAGTGCATGCCCTGTTGGGCCACTCCGTATTGTGGTCCGTACATGTTGTGTCCTTGTGGTTGAGTTTGCTGCTTTTGAGAAGCGATGACAGGTGAGGATTGTATCCTGTGCTGGGGAATGGTTTATGTGTTGCCCTTTGGGGTGATAAGGCGGGCGCTGAGCGAATAGCAGAACTTGACTGGGCTTGCGAGCACAGAGCGCTTACTGGGCTGTCTGTGGTTCGCGGGCGGGAGCGATTGCTGGTGTTGCGCGCGTGTATGGTCCAATCAAGGGAAGAAGTGCTTGTGAATTGTGAATGGCCAGAGAATAAAGGTAGCGACACAGGTCAATCAAATCAAATGTTTCGAGAGGCCTTGGACGATTCTGATTGCTCGTTGAGTGGACGAGAACAGGAGGATTGATTGGCCGTGAAGAAGGAGAGGACGAGGGAAAATGCGACGAGATGATTTGAGGGGCGGGATCCAGTCTGTTTTTACGACTTCCTTTGACTGGATGAATCAGCGCCGAATGTGGGTCTCCTGCCGCGTCAGGTTTTGATTGGGAGAGAGACTGTGACGCAAGGAGCGCACCCGACCTTCCTCTCTTTTTTAAACCCTGGCTGCCTGATGAGGTGTCTGTGTTTGTACGGTCCACATAGGTGGGGGTGTCTATTTTGCCATTCTGGTGGCTGGGCTGCTGGGGTGTGAATCCAAATATATACAAGCCTTAACTTTCGAGACGTACCTACACTTGTCTCGTCTCGTTCAGTCCATTGGGAACATTTACAAACAGGGAAAGTCAAAGAAGAAGTAATTTTGCTGAAGCTTTCATGGGACTCGTCAAGATCAGTTGATATGACGACAGCTGTCATAGCCGTCACAGTCTCTGTCTCTATTAAACTCTTTGGTCTTCGGCATTGACCACCTCTGTTTCGCTTTTCCGAGTTGTCGACCCCCAAAAAATCAAACTTCTTGTCTGATGCTTCAATAAACCCCGCTGTGAGGTCGATTAAGCATTGACACAGGTAACCTTGCTTTGTTGGAGGGATGAGGAGATGGTGGGATAAAAGATGATATACGGAGTACAAGTAGGTATATTACTGTGCTGGGCTTCCAGCTTGTCTTACTTCTTACTACCAGTATGTACATCTAGGTAGGTGTTTTCCCGCTCTAGTACATCGTTTCTATCATTCTTTTCCAGACCGCTTCTCTCTAGATCTTGTATCCCAATACTTGGTTACCTCTTCTCTCCCGCAACTTCAGCCTCGACGAGCAAAAAAAGATGTCGCGAGCTGTCACAGAGTGACGACACGAATCGAGGTCGAAACACAAACCGTGTTTCTCACCCCTCTCTTGTTTGTCGGCCGATCATTGTCCGGTTTGGATGGTGTGTGGATGAGCTGGCAAGCCGGCTTAGACTAAAATTAGCCCCGAGTTATGTATTCGCATCCCGACGCGCATAACGGGGCACAAGGCGCTTTTCAGAGCTGCAAAGTTCTTGATGAGCTTCTGTCAATTTCACAAAGAGGCAGCCTGCTTTGACTCACGCAAAGAGCTCACCAGAGCAAGGTAAGGCATTTTGCTGGTTGCCTAGTAGTTAGTTGGTGCCCAGGCCGTCTAATCGATACGCTATCGATATACCACCGTAACAAGGCTGTATATTGATGTCAGTGGGCAGGCCTCAAACATCTCCAGCTTCACCAGGTCTTCGGTACCTGGTTCTGGTTCTTTTCTATAGCTCAGGCATTCAAACTATAACATCTCAGCTTCACGGTAGGTACCTATCTCCTGGTAGAACCCAGAATAGGGACACGTGACGAAATAATTTGCCTCTTCTTGGTCACATGCAATGCAGTGAAACTCAGCTGGCTGAGGGGATCATGGCAACCTTGAATTTGATGTTAACGATTGGCAAATGTCGGTGTGATATTATTGGCACTCGCTCACAGCCTGGATCCAGCGATCCGGACCTCTGCTTCACTGGCCGTGTGGAATTAGAGACATTCCCAGCCTCGTTGTAGAAGTTATCAATGTGGCTCTATTCTCTCCATCGGTGGTGTTGTTGTTGTTGTTGTTGTTTGCCTGCTTCGTCGTTTGTGAAGAGCTCTGGAGTGTAGCTCCACAGTACAGAGATCCACGTGCAGGATCCCTTGGACGTGCTACGGTACCCGTCCGTCTCTTGTACGAGTGCAGGCCTGGATCTAAAAAGGACGCAATCACAATACGAGGCCCTGTCTGTTTATTCCTGAGAACAGAGCGGCAATACCTCTGTACGTTGATCCTATCTTCCCCAGGCCGTCACTGTCGTTGAGCCCTGTGCCTTAGCTCATTAAACACATCTCAGTCTCGAGTGTCTCAAACTGGCTGCAGCAGTTCGTACGTAAGAGCTACGGAGTCGGTGAGTGGCCCCGGATCCTTGGCTTGTGGATCGTGGTACCAGTAATGGCACGGTCGTTGAACCTCAGTGGGGGGGAATATGCGGGACGTCCTAGGAGAGGAAAGAAAACACAGGACCTCGATCCTAAATGACAAAAAGACGTAGATGATATAACGTAAGCCTTACGATAGTTTTTGCTGAGTTTATTTTGATACCCTACAGTAACGTTCGCTGTTTTCTTGCCCCCTGAGGGACGTCCTATCGTAGGCTCCGCATGTGGATGAGGAGAGGAACTCTTTGTGCTCCTGTTGCACGCGGACGCGGCGCGTACCTTCAATTGACACTTATAAGTTACTATACCTAGGTAGGTAGTCAGGAAAAACTTGAGATCTCTGTCACCAGTAACCAGAAGACTCAGGTAACTTTATTATATACTCGGTAGGCCTTTAAATGAAGCATTTTCACCATCTTGCCTTGGACTTGGAGGTGTTCTTGCTCCATGAGGCTGTTGTGTCTCTTTTTGCTTCGAGGGCCGATGTAATGTCATCGTATCCTGAGACGACGACGCAAAGTCGCAACGGTATTTTGCCGAACAGGAAGTTAAATTTCGTGTCAGAGTCTCGGATATGGGGATACAGTATTGGTGCGTTGTCGGCTGTGCTCGATCTCACGCACCGCATCGCATCGCATCGCATCGCATCGCATCGCATCGCATCGCATTAATGAAATGCACTCACTCACTGCCCAAGTGCATTGTCATATTGCTTCTCAGCTATAGCCTATACGTACACACGTATGTATGTACTTGTCTCGAGATCGCACGTCGTCTGCTAAAGTGGTGGGGGCGTAACCGCGTGGTGGTGGTGTGTATTCCCCCCCATGTCTTGGCCTTTCCATGCTGTTACGGATGCATGTGCGTGGTTGGCCAGTTGTCACAGCTTGGTCTGCGGCTGGGTACCTTGAGTTGGTGTGGTTGGGTAGAGAGCCATAATCTTTTCCCTTCTCTTCTTCGTCTGCAGAGCCATGCAAGGTTACAAAACTGAGGCTTCAGTATCAATTGGTTACCATGGATCGATAATCTTCCGATTGGATTTGACATCAGATTTGGGTTTTCAGATATCAACAATACCTAGCAAGCCATGACGCATGTTGTTCTTCCACTACATGTGATTCTGGGGAATGGTGGAACATCAGCGCCATGGTTTGATATCTCCCAATCATCCCATATCACAACATCAATGCATGTAGCCGCCTCATGATCTCGGACTACATGCATGTATAACAGCCCAATATCGGCAGCCATGTTTTGCGCAAATACACACCTATTGAGAAGTGACTGTCTTGGGCAACAGCGCATCTATTTGATATTAGAGCCCGATGGACTGACTGCATGCTTGGAATCGGTCTGTCCGCCTTGCCTTGTATCTCGGCGTCAGTACGGAGTACGGAGTATGGAATAGGCCATGGCTGTGACGCCTTAACGGTTGTGCCTATCAGCCCACTTGCTGCAAAGTCTACCTGATTACACAGTCCAGTAAACATCTCGATCGAGTGACGATATCCGTAGCTCAAAGAGGCCTGTCTTGAACAAAGGGTAGCTTGCTTGTTTCCTTACATCGCGGCCGCCTCCCGCCCATGTCACATTTCAATACCCGGTTATCACCTCAGCCGTAATTATATTGACATGATTCATGCCGCCCGGCGCCAGGTTCCAGCGTTATCACTTGTGACTGCAACTATTCTAGGTTTATCATCTCGAAACTTGGCCTGCCCACACGCGGCCGTCACATATCCGGGCATCTTTGATTCATTGTCGAGTTTTGATTCGTAATTAATCATTTCTTGCATTTCCTCCAATACCCTTGTTGCGCGCTTAATTCACCACTCAACAAGGCTGCTCACGATATCGCGTTCCAGACGCGTCCCGGACCCTCCTTGTTAGCCTTTCTTTCGCCCTTGTCTAGTTTCAACTCATTTGGTGTGACAAGCCCAAGCCCTTGCGATGGATTCTCATTCGTCGCCGCCGTTGCGTTCATCCAAGTCTTCAGAGAGCTCTCCGTTCCAAGCTTGGACACGGCGGAACGGCGATCATCATCTCGGTCCAAGGCGGTTGAGTCCTTGTTTGGAAGGCATTGCTTTGTCTAAAGGCTGTAGTTTGAGTAACAAGCCGGTGTCCTTATTCTCCTTTTGATGGGGCGTTTCGGCTATCGAATTGACAGGCGTTCCTTGTCCGGTTCGGTGATATGTTCTAGTGATAGGTATACTGGTCTGTCTACTCCAATATCAAAACTTATGTCTTGAGCACACTGAGAATTTGCCCCTCTATCAACACAGTCGCTAGTTCCATAATGTACGGTACTAGTAAAGTCTGTATTTCTAAGTGTTTTCGATGCGAGTGTGGTTTTCCATTGGTTATCTACGGCAATATATAACATATCATATCAAGGACTTGAAACCCTTACAAACTTAGTCGGCTTGAGATGGTTGACATATTCTCCCCGCATTCTCATGCATCAGTAATATACACAAAATAATAACAATTATTGTATGTTATGTCGACCGATGACAATGATATAAGAATGGCACGATATCCAGTGCACAGGAGTAATGTTTGGTTGTGTAGTAACTATAGGGTAGTACATACCGGAACMCCCCCCCCCCCGTGAACATGATATCAACGAGGATTGCAATCAAACAGCTGTCGTTGACTGAGAAATGGGTGATCAGGAATGTCGTTAGAGAAACCGCCTTGGAACTGCATAATGCTACCGGGTATGTAGAGCTGCATGCGTGATATCATTAGCAGTGCCTGAGTCAACCGAATAGAAGCGAGAATAGGTTGAATCTTCCACTACCACTGCTAAGAGTTTCCATACTCGTACCGATTCATGGCCGTCAATCTAGGATGGCTATGTCCAGCAATGGCTTCAAAAAAATATATATAGTATTATCTTAGCCAGAAATGGACGATTTGCAATAGAGTCTTACGAAATGACACGCCCTCTTGCTTGAAGCTCGTAGGTGGCATCAAAGATCGCCAAAAGCAAATGAGATGTGAGAAATTCACTACAGCCATAGTCATGGGAGGATCCATTAAACCTTGACCAGAAGCTGAGACCAGTGATATTCTATGACTGCGCTTGAAACTTTGCACGTCCTTATGCCGCCACCATTCATATCACTGACCAAGCGAAACAATCAGCTCCTCCACCAGGCCTGCTTCGCAATATATCTGAACCAAGGATAGAAGGCTCAGGCCAAACGAGTGGATGTGAGCTTTGCGAGTTAGCTAAGGTCTGCAAAGGTGAGAGGTTAGTGGGGGGTAAAATCATGACAGACATCTTCTACATCAAATTGAATGGTACTGACACTGAGCAACTTACTCTGCTAACCAAATGGGGTTCAAAACTATGGGTGTCAAAGAATTGAGGCGCACGATGGCAATGTTGTCGAAAGAGTCGGAAGCGGTGGCTCGATGATTAGGAAGCCTATCTAACGGGGAAAGTATCATACTAGAAGCATAACATTCACAAGGTCTCGTCAAGGGTAGTCTGCGCCCCTTTGTTCATGTGAGATCGATATGTGTCAAGATCAAGGAAGGATGTTGCTAAGAGGTCGTTCTTGGTGCAGATCAAGATGATATGAGAGGCGGTCAAGGTCAAAAAGAATTTGGGCGAGTGAAATATGAAGCACCATGGGTACTATAGTTGTATATTTGGATCACGAGATGCTCTCAAGATGTTCGAGACAACGCGTGCGTACGGGAGACTCCACCCAGATATATAGAGATAAGGAAATCTAGTCGAGCACTTGCTCCGCCATGGAGACTAGTAGATTTGATGTTAGCAAATATACATGATAAACGATCCTAGGATACCACTCACCAGCGCTTCCAGTATTGTCAGGCTCCACGTGCGCCTTGCTGACCTTGCCATCCTCGACCTTGAGGGCATATCGCTTTCCACGCATGCCACCAAAGACCTCGTAGGCCTCGAAGCCAAGGTCTAGGGCCTTAGTGAACTCACCAGTAGGGTCACCAAGGAATCGAATCTGAGAGAAGTTAGATGAATAATCCCGAACTTTGAACGAGAGGAGTTTTGTGTTAAAAATGTTTACTCACACCAGTCTGCTTGGCGGGGTCGAGCTGCTCGCTCCAAGCTTTCATGCTGCAATACAGTCAGAAACATGCCATGTTATTGTTATATACGACGACTCATGATTGTTGAACTTACACAAAGGGATCATTAACAGATACAACAAAGACCTGGCCAGCCTGCTTGAGCTTGGGGTGGTTGATGTAAGAGGGGATGTGCTTGCTGGAGCACGTTCCGGAGAAGGCAGCAGGAACGCCGACGATGTAGCCATTGGCTGACTTGAACTCCTCCGCGAGATTGACCTTGTTACCGGGCGAGTCCTCCAGAAGGACGTCAAGATTAGGAATCTCTTGGCCAACGCGGACAAAAGCACGAGAGGTCGAGTGAAAACCCCGCGCAGCCAAAGCAGGCCTGGCGAGGGCAATACGTCGGATAGGAGCTCTGAAGGGCATTTCCGAAGGCTGTTAAGATAAACTGTGAAGCGTATATGCTATTTCTAATAGGTACGCGTGGTCAATTGCTTCTTGGATTGCCAGTTGATTCGCGGTGGAGGTTGGAGCTTGGGACAGTTGCGGCACAAATGACATCACGTTGAGCATCTTAGCGCAGTGGAGCTCAATTGTTGAAAGCTGATGTACCGGCTTCTTGTGTGTGCTTTTTCGATCGAAAGATCATGATCGTGTTACACTATCAAAATGGACTAGCAACAATGATAATCTTTGTTGTACATCTTTACTTTTCAACAATTGGTTTTTACTGTTTGCCGCGGGACTATAAGCTGCACATATCCGCAGGTGGCCTCGCTGACGAAAGACCTCTTTTGACGTTGAATTGCTACCTATTATGTACCTATGCGGAAAGGAAGGTACTATTGAAAAGATTTGCTAGAAGGGATTAGACCGAAGAAATGGAAGGAAAGAATTATAGACAATAGAACAATACCTAAGTATATAGGAGATAGAGTCTTCTTGATACTAGGCATTTAAAATAACTTGGTGGCAAGGAGTGTTTGGTGAATAGCGATGAAGAGATAACGTAAGAATTCCTATTGTTCCAGTGTCTTCTAAGAAGGTACATGTGAAGATAGGATGGAGTAGAAAAATGCAACTGCTCAAACAGCGCTGCTATATACCTGCAGTGTGCCTTCCGTTCCATTCCATCCATTGGCATGCATCAGTTTGCCTGCACCTGCCTGTATTCGCTACCTACTGCTTTGCTGCCCACGGCGGAAGACAAAAGCTCAACCCCTACACACTGAGATTTCTAAACCCTCACAATTCAAGCGAATACATATATGAACGTCTTATTTCTTGGAAGAATTTATCTGTGTCTCATCGTCACCCTGATACTACGAACTTTTCCACTACCGGGGGCTGGGCTCCCCCAAACGTTTTCCTCGAAAAGCCATACAACGATATCTGATTGAGAAGCGAGAGAAGCCTGGGATAGCAGGATGGCTTGATTTTATCGATCATATCAATCATACCTAGGAAAAACATGTATTCGAAATCTGACGAACACGATACTCTGGGGGACCTCCCGCTTCATCGACCAGATTCTTCTACTCAACAGGCCACAAGTAAAAACCTGCCGCACATCATGCTCGAAAATTGGCCTACACAGACTCCAACTTGGCGCCACCACTGTTATGTGGTTTACACTGTCGACTTCAGGGTTCGTTCCCAACGTGCCCGAGGAGATCCCCCCCACACCAACCGAGCGGACAGAACCCGCGATCACATAGAGAGTGGTCTGTTCGTACAGACACACGCGAAAAGGATGTGCGGTCATCTTTACATGCCTCGAAAACACCCGATTTACGAGTATTATGTGCTTCAGAGCCAGAGACTCGACAACATTAGGCAGCACGAGTATTTCGAGTCTGATGCTGCTATCGGATTCATATTTAAGAAGGATTACCAAAACTCCTTCTATCAGATTCTCCGGGAGATACAGTTACCGGAAAATACAAACCCCAAGGACTCGGCTCTTTATCGACGCCATAACACCAACATCCAACCCTCCCCCCTGAGAACTCGACGGACTAGGTGACGGCTGTGCTTATAGTGATGGGAACAAGGAAGCTGTTGATGGAAGATGTGCCAAATGACTGGTACATAGATGACACAGGAGTGTTCCAGGAATATGGCCGACATAGAACTGCTGTTCAAGATACCATTGTGTGCAAGGAGTCAACTTTGGTTAGGATATTGTCGTGGAACTGAGAAACCAAGAGGCTACATCTCGGAGCGACTGGCATGATATAACGTCAATGCAGTTATAGAAAAGATGTCATCGGGGGAATCTGAAACAACATTTCCCATGCAATTGAACGGCGTGGTGCATGATATATGTTACATATGAGTATCTAACGATCGGGAAACGCTGTCCGAGTGATGTAGTGTTTGACTAGATCCGCTATTCAGTACCAGAACACTATCGCATGAATATTGAAGTGAACTTGCGTTTTGCATTTGTATGAAGTGTTAGAACTTTCGTTCGCGACTATTGATATCTATTGCTTTGTTGTCGAACAATAATAACACGTTAAGTGCGAGCCAGATATCGAAACCCTGCTGTCGTGGCTACGCCTCCCGTGCCACCATCTTGGGAGTAGGGACTCAATAAATAGGACGATAAACATAGTACGTCTTGACTCACAGACCACAGTTTCAATAATGATTGTTTAAACACCTGACACTGGAATCAACCGAGCCTGTACATGGGTATTTGCATAAAGATCACGTACGTTACACTCATGTGTACTTTCATTCACAATGGAGGCGGCTAGGCTCGTCCCGTTGGCAGAAGGGTGTTCGTTTCAGAATTAATCAAGGGTCGACAGGCCCATCCGGAACCCCGGATGGAGAGGGAACACGAAGATGGAGGAAACACATCACCAGTGCGCATTCGATCGTGATGAAGTGCTTGCTATGCAAGGTATCTCCTTGCATGTTGGTTCTCTGAGAGTTACTTAAGTCAGTATGTAACTATGTATTGTCTTCAAGTAGAACCAGAAAAAGATGTGATATGCATGCTGGCAGTCTATGCCCCTTCTCAGATATAGACATATTTAGGGCGACCAGAGAGTACAGTATTTCGTGTCCGTACCAGCTTCTTGAAACCAACATGAATGGTTGGATAGCACAGATGACATGGTGATAGCACGTGGGGGCTAGCCCTCAAGATCAATCCTCAAGGTGAATTGTGGATAGACAGCTCGTATCCTGATCCTGACCTGAGGTAGGTCGGCACTGACATGAGTTGAGATCAGAATTCCTAAGTATCTCAACATGGGACATGGTCGTTGAGAGTGGAGTTATCTGGATGTTAGCTCTACAAGTATTCAACGCTGGTTCTTGGCCCATGTCTAAGCCGCAACCTCTTGCCTGGCAATGTATCCTCATATGCAGTTACAAGGCACGAAGGAGTAAGTCGATGCAGTATGTCACCCGCTTTGACGTCCGCTTTCTTTTCCCAAGAGTTCTAGGACCAGGCAGGCTGAACTATCAGCTGAAGATGCAAGGTTCCGACTAACTACTCCTGCATGTATGTAAGTGCACAACCGTTCAACGGTTGGGTTCGGCTTTCTGTCTTTCCATTCCAATCCCTTGCCTCAAGTGATGTGTGAGAAGTGGCTGTCGAGACAGGTGGCTCTTATTAGCCTTGAACCAGCTGTTGCTTGGTGATTGGTAGAAATGATGATTAGCATCAAAGTAGATCAGCCATGAGTATCTAGAGTGAAGACTGGCGTTGTCTAGACCTCGAATCAGCTTAGCCATTGGAGAAACTGCTTTGTCACAATGTCATCTACACAATCCTGTATTAATCAAAGCCGTTGTCATTGTATGAAAGGGAAAGTTAATGGCGTGGAAAGACAAGAATGTGGAGCGATAACTCGCAAAATTGCGAAAACTACTCGCTGGTGTATTCAGCCATGTCTCGCAGATAGTCAGCGTTGGCGATTACTCGATAGACGAGAACCACAAATGGATATGGATATGAGAAGGATGTGATTCTGACGATCGCCAACCAGCTCCGTGTATCAGAAGTCTTCTTTCAGACTGCCAAGCGTCAAGTTTGCGTGACAACATGCCCGTTTTAACTGGGCCTGCTACTGTGATAATGCCCAAGATGGTGATCATCGAAACTTTGAAGCCGTTTTTATCGTTGCATTCGCAGGTTGCTCTGCCGGCGATCGACAATGCCCCGAACCGCACCGCAGTCGTTGCGCGCACGACAAGACAGGGTGCCAAGAACCAGGTACAGTACATAAGGTACCGTTAGACTCGGGATACATTCAGTTGCTGACAGGGGGGCTCGCATGGCAGGCAAGGGGACCTAGAAAGATGAGGCACAGCACGCCAGAGACATGGGTCTGCTGAGTGAAGAGAGACAAGGTGATGCGAGACATGCCGCGGTTGGAATGTGTGTATAGGCGCTAAAACGACGATGATAGTGTATAGGCCAGTGAAAATGTAGCTCCGAACCCCTTATCGTTGAAGAATAGATATAATCATTTGTGAGAACCTTTTCTCCCTGATTAAAAACGGGCTGGCTATTATTGCAATGAAGATTGTCAGATTGTCAGATTGTCAATCAAATGCAGGGCCCTACGCAGTATGGAGCTGCTTTGGTTCCATTTTCTTTATTTCTCCACGAGCAGTGGATTCACTCGCTCGCTAGGGCGTCATGACCTCACTCAGTCACACGGGCCTGTTTAGTGGTGCATCGTAAAGAGAGAAACTGGCGGGCATGTTTAGCTATTCGAAGCAATCTGCGAATGGCCCGGCGACAGGATTACGACATTGCAGCAATACAAGTGAAGTTCAGCCTGCATCACCATCACAGCAATATCGATAGCAAACACATATTGAACCACAGCCAATTCTTTGCCCTCCATTGTTACCCATCTCACTCACGCGGGCATCCACAGCGAGCCGTCCATGAGTGCCCGCATAAGCAGGTGCAGGCACTTTAGTAGAGCCTTGTGCCCTGTGTCTAGCCCGAAGCGGGTGATGGTCCAATCTACCCCTGACTTGGCACGCAAGGATGGGTCCCTTGTCTCTTGTTGCCCCTCAACAAGCGTTGATTGACAGAAAACTTATGCAGGCCTCTTGATGGAGAGCCGAAAAAGATGAATCCCAAAGAATAAACGTACCGTATTTCGCAAACCTCAGGGTAGACGAGTGTTATTGGATCCTACGTCGAAGAATACGCCTCTGATCATAGCATATCTCTGCCTACAATTTACTAATCTTGATCAATTCTAGTAGTACAAAGACACTCGTTGAATACAAGGAAGCTCAAGTTTATTTATTCGCATCTTTTCCCTCCCCTTGTCAGGCACGAGGGCTATTTTGGCGCCCCAAGCCCAGACCACCCACCACTGAGCACCTGTGGCAACCCTCCACTGCCCCTGTCTCCTGTCGTGTCGTTTTGGAAGTTGGATATGCTCTGTTAACTTCTGTTGCAGGTCGGTATAACCGTTGGTGACTTGGCTTCAGCTTGGGCACCTAACAAGTCACAGCTCCTCGGCTTTAACTTATAGTGCTGTATCATTGAGGACGGATCCTTCAGCTGACCGAGTTCTCAAACAACCGGAAGTTTGCAGAGTCTTTTTTTACCATAATCATCCTTGTATTTGGCCATCTATAATCCTTACCAACTATGAACCAGGATCCTCTCCCTCACAGCCCAACGATCCAAACTACTTGCTGCATGTGTGTTTATCTGCACTCATGAATATGTAAAGAGCTCTTGAGATCATCCCCTCTGATCGACCATGAGTCTGGCGGTCTGACGACCAGAGGATGATCAATCGCTTATCCAAGTAACCAAGTGTTTCTTTTCTCAGAAGAAGCACGAGAGGTGCACTACCAAATTAGACCACACGCCTCTGTCAAAGAGACCCCACCAACGCCGCAATTGCAACGCCTCCGTTCCACATGATTTCAAGAGGCGACTGGCCGTTCATATTACTTCTGATATAGAAGCAACAAGCAATTGAATTGAGTCTCGAGTCTTTTTGTAGTGAAAGAAGGTAAGCAGGTACCTACAGTACAGAACACAGTTGATCTTAATCGGAACCAGGGGGTGCAGAGACCTTTGTTTCTCGCCCGCAAAATCCCAGGGTCTCATGAACGAGTTAGGGTTTTTACTTGGTACTGTAGGTACTAACCCAGGCCTGCCAGGCCCAACAACGTTAACAGTCCGGGTTGTTGTTGATCGTCATTGCGCCTGTGGGTTCCCGTTGCAAGAACCCGCTCTAAAAACGATCATGTTTTTGGGCGGCGTCACTCCACTCCGTCTCCCGTGAGTTTCGCCTCTGCCCCTGATCCCAGCAGGTACGGAGCCCTTTCAGGGCTTGGCCTTCTTCTGTTTCTTATCTATCTTACATATTTACGTAGTATGGCGACTGGTGGTATGCATGGTAAGCGTATTTTGGTGAAGGGCTACTGCGGGTGATTTTGTTAATAGCTAATACTTGATGATTGACCGTTGAACTGCGTCCCGTCCGTTGTGTTAAATTTAGGTTTTGGTGGAAGTCCAGGTATGGATGGTATTTGCAAAATACAGTAAGCCTTCAGATTTAGCTACTAGGTACCTACCTAGGTAGGTAGCTTCAAAGCTCTACACCAACTCTGTAAGGTAGGTCAGTACCTAATACTCATTCACCAGCGGTGGTACGGAGTAGACCGGCCACGTTATTCCATTCCCATCCATACCACCCAGTTCGCCTTGACTGGGCATCATCATCACCATCCATCCATCCATCCATCCATCCACTACCAGTATTGGTCTCTCATCTCAGTTCAGGTACCGATCAAAAGGTATTGGACTGCACACGTAGCTGCTCGGAATCTCTGATTCGCCCTCCCTCCCTCCTCTTTCACTTGGTCTGCCACCTCAGTCTTGTTTCCTGCCTGCCTTCCATGACATTAGTTGCCCCTGATTCCTACCTTATGTACCTTTGGTAGTACTTCCCTTCTCTTCTCCTTGGCCTACTTTCCATTCGGACGTGCAGTACATTAGTAGGCAGGTTCTCTAGAGTCACACAAACTTATCAGGTTCCTGTCACTTTTCTTCTGGATATCTTCTTCCGTCCTTCCAGTTCTTCTTCAGCGTCGATCATTTCCCTTGTCAAAAGCACTTCATTATCATTTCATTCATCGTCGCCGCTTGTTTCGCGCTCGCTTTAATTCCTCCTATTCTCCCCCCACACACAAACAAGTGCAAGCCCACAACGCACGCACGACCCTGCAGCGTCGAACGCCAACGATCCACCGACCGTCCCACGCGCCGTCTCTCCCTCCTGAAGTCCGCGTCTCAGCCGTGCATAAATCTGCCCGGAAATACACCAGGATCCATGTCTGGTACCTTGCAGTCCACTATCTAAACTACTCTGCTTCAAGTACCCTTCTAGCTCAGGTACTTCGCTTTTGGTTGCCTTGCCTGTGCAATTCCATCACCCACGGCCCCCCTTCCCCTTCCTGCCTCTGCCTTGTCCACCACCAACACCACCGCTACCTCCACTTTCGCTATCACCATCAACCTGCCGCCTTTTTGTTGTTCATTTTGCACTTCTTTCTTCCTAGAACGCCTCCTGCGCTCCTCGCGAGATCGAGGATTTTCAGAATTTCGCATCGCGACATACTGTCGCTCCCATTGAGCTACCGTTGCCGCTTACCATCTGTCTATCTTAGCTTGTTTCTTGTCCTTTGTTTTCTGAGCGAACGTATTGCTGTTGCGCGCCTCCTCCCGCCGTGCTCGCCTCATAACCATCGTCGATACCTCCGTTGATACAATCTTCATTATTTTGCGACTTCCCGCTTTTGTACCACGAAACCGTTGAACGCCCTCTACGCCTCACTGCTTGTCATTCACCTCGAACTGGTCGTTGCTTTCGCTGCCACGCTTGACCTCGACTCATCATAATTGGGATAACCTGACTCGCTGCCCTTTGGCTCGGCACCTGCGCAATTGCTGCCTGTTGTCTGAGTCTAGAGGCATACAAGCCTGAACCCTCGTTATCATATATTGCAGTAAACACACTATGTCCATCATGTTACAAACGCCATCTCGAGCTTCTACGGCCTCCTCCTCCTCTTTCCAACCCATATCACGCCAAAATACCATGTCTTCCTACGACGGCTCGCGCTCTGCGCGCCAGTCGAAGCGCTACTCGATGTCAGCTCTCTACATGTCGATTTCTGCCAACGAGGGAGATCTACAGATTGAAGATGAGCTTGCCAAAGGTAGGCCTACATATGCATTTCAAGAGGATAAGCAACTGACCTCATTCCAGCACAAAAGGCGCTGCGTGATCTTAAGTCTAAGATCTCATCACAGTCGAAGAAGAACTTCGTTTTGGAAAAAGATGTGCGCTATCTAGATTCCCGAATTGCGTTGCTTATCCAAAACCGTATGGCCCTGGAAGAGGTACGTCTCCAATCAACGTCGAAATGAACAAGTTCTGATTCGCGCTATAGCAAAACGAAGTTGCCAGCCATCTCGAAGATGCTCTTGAAATGCAGCAGGGTGTCTTCCCTAACGGCGACAAAACTCAGAAATACGGAAACCTTTTGTTTCTGCTCCAATCTGAGCCTAGGCACATTGCACATCTCTGCAGGCTCGTCTCGATGTCTGAAATTGATTCGCTGCTCCAGACTGTCATGTTTACTATCTACGGAAACCAATACGAAAGTCGAGAAGAGCATCTCTTGCTCACTATGTTCCAGGTAAGCTTCCACGCCTTTAAAAGAGATGCACGTCTCACATGCTCTAGTCCGTCTTGACATATCAGTTCGACAACACACCGGACTACTCCTCCTTGCTCCGCGCTAATACTCCTGTCTCTCGAATGATGACTACATACACCCGAAGAGGTCCTGGTCAAAGTTTCCTCAAATCCGTGCTTGCTGATAGAATCAATGGCTTGATCGAGCTGAAAGATCTTGACCTGGAAATCAACCCGCTCAAGGTCTACGAGCGAATGATTGAACAGATCGAAGAGGATACTGGCCAACTGCCTCCCCACCTTCCCAAGGGAATCACTGGCGAACAAGCCGCCGAGAACCCTCAGGTTCAGGCCATCATTGAGCCCCGCTTAACTATGTTGACCGAGATTGCTAATGGCTTCTTGACCACCATTATTGAGGGCCTCGAGGAAGCGCCTTATGGTATCCGATGGATTTGTAAACAAATCAGGAGCTTAACTAAGCGCAAATATCCAGATGCTAACGACCAGGTCATTTGTACCTTGATCGGTGGATTCTTCTTTTTGCGCTTCATTAACCCTGCGATCGTTACCCCGAAATCTTACATGCTTATCGACGGAACCCCGGCCGAACGACCCAGACGAACTCTAACATATATCGCCAAGATGCTTCAGAACCTCGCGAACAAGCCATCCTACGCCAAGGAGCCGTACATGGCTAAGCTTCAGCCGTTCATTCATCAGAACAAGGACAGAATCAATAAGTTCATGCTCGATCTCTGCGAGGTCCAGGATTTCTATGAGAGCCTCGAGATGGATAATTACGTTGCCCTATCAAAGAAGGATCTTGAACTTGAGATTACCCTCAATGAAGTGTACGCCATGCACTCGTTGCTTGACAAGCATCATGACGAGCTGTGCAAGGATGATAATTCGCATCTTGCTATCATTATGTCGGAATTGGGATCATCGCCCCCTCAGTTGCCGCGCAAAGAGAACAGAGTCATCAACTTGCCTTTATTTAGTAGATGGGAGTCAGCTATCGGCGATCTGACAGCAGCATTGGATATCACGCAGGAGGAGGTTTATTTCATGGAAGCCAAGTCGATTTTCGTACAAGTCATGCGATCGATCCCAGCAACTAGCGGGGTAGCCAGGAGACCACTGCGACTAGAACGCATTGCTGATGCCGCAGCTACAAATCGCAGTGATGCAGTAATGGTTCGCAAAGGTATCCGGGCCATGGAACTGTTATCCCAGCTTCAGGAATTGCGCGTTATCGACAAGGCCGATCAATTCAGCCTACTTCGAGACGAAGTTGAGCAGGAGCTTCAACATCTCGGATCACTCAAAGAGGGTGTTATCACTGAGACCCAGAAGCTGCAAGAAGTCTACAAGACGATCCGTGATCATAATGTCTATCTCAACGGACAACTCGAGACCTACAAAAGCTACCTGCACAACGTTCGATCACAGAGCGAGGGTACTAAGAGAAAGCAGCAGAAGCAGCAAGTCCTTGGTCCGTACAAGTTCACACACCAGCAGCTTGAGAAGGAGGGCGTCATCCAGAAGAGTAATGTCCCCGACAACAGACGGGCCAACATATACTTCAACTTTACCAGTCCACTACCTGGAACATTCGTCATTTCATTGCACTATAAGGGTGAGCTACTTTCATTCTCCTGTCGCTCTAGGATGCTAACTTGAAGACAGGTCGCAATAGAGGTCTCCTTGAATTGGATCTCAAGCTTGATGATCTGCTTGAGATGCAAAAGGACAATCAGGATGACCTTGACCTGGAATATGTCCAGTTCAACGTGCCAAAGGTCCTGGCGTTGTTGAACAAACGCTTCGCGAGGAAGAAGGGCTGGTAAATGATCTATAATGACAATACGACTTTCAGCCACAAACATCTCGACATATATTGATCCATGTACTACGACCGCATCAGACGGAGGGCTTGGCGTTATGGATACTGATACCACGGAATATTCTGTTCTCTTCACCTTGGACCCGGAAGCTATTTGGAGGGCTTGTCACCATGGTTTCTTTTGTTGATTTTCATTTGTCTGTTTCCTTTTGGCATGAGCATTCCTTCATGTCTTGCGTTGAGGTAGTGAGACGGATATGGATGGATGGGCGAGGTGGAAATCAGCGAGCAGGAAGGACTATTCTTTTATATACCGTATGCTTGTTTCTTGAACGGCGGTATTCTGCTTCGGCTGGTCCGCGGTGGGAGCCTGTTATGCGGAACCTTGATTATATGTGCATGCCAGTAGTCTGTTAATGAGATGGATATCATTCTCCAAGGCATGAGAGTGGTGGTAGGACGATCATAGTTAGGAGGTAGGCTTTAGGCCTTGGACAGTGGTAATGACCAACGGGCCTTGAGTTTTACAATGAAAGCTTGAATTATTACATCCGTATAGTGAATTGTTATTTGGCATGCCTCGAAGCACAAAATACTGATTCATTACAAACAAGATAGAGATACCTAGGTAGGCGCGTCAGATGAACCGAGGAACCGAACGAACCTAGGATTGTGGAGAGCTTGGGGAAGAGGGGGCCACTAAAGGACTGTCTGTAATCCCCCAGATCTGAACCTCGGCATCTTTAGTGACTAGCAAGGGGCCAAATGTTCAAGGTACCTAAGCTCATCGAGTCAGTTCTCACATCCGGGGTACAATAACTCTTGACCTTGCAATTATCATTTATTAACCGTAGCTCCGCCAAACCATTCTTCAATTCATCTTTTTGTAACCTCCGACTTGTATCTCGTGGCCCTGAACCAGCAAATCGACCACCGATCATCCTTTCTTGTATCTACTCACCACGTAACTGTCCTAGTGATGGCTGGTAGAATTCGACAGCCCGTCGATGAGGCTGCGCTTGAGAAATACATTTCTGAGCATGTCCCGACCATCAAAACACCGATTGATCTCAAACAGGTGAGTTCTCTGCTTGTACTCTTCTCAGTGTGATGGCTGCTGATGCTACATAGTTTGGTTTCGGCCAATCCAATCCTACATACCAGATTACTGCTTCAGATGGCCAACGCTTTGTGATGCGCAAGAAGCCACCTGGAAAACTCCTTTCCAAGACAGCTCACAAAGTAGAGCGTGAATACCGCATCATGCATGCTCTGGAGAACACTGATGTTGCTGTACCCAAAGCGTACTGCTTATGCGAGGATGACTCTGTTATTGGCACGCCGTTCTATATCATGGAGTTTCTCGATGGACGTATCTTTGAAGACTTTACCATGCCAGGGGTACAACCCGCCGATCGTGAGGCTATGTGGCGCGATGCCGTGATAACATTGGCACGGTTCCATGCAGTTGACTACAAAAAGGTCGGCCTAGAGAAGTTTGGCAAACCATCGGGTTTCTATTCGCGACAGATTAACACGTGGGTAACTATCTGTGGTAGCCAGGAGAAGGCCGTCGACATTGAGACCAAGGAACCTGTCGGGAAGCTCCCTCACTTTGAGGAAACGGTTCGCTTCTTCAAGAACGAGCGTCTGCAGCCCAAGGACCGGGCAACGCTGGTACATGGGGATTATAAGATTGACAATTTGGTATTTCACAAGACTGAACCAAGGGTCATCGGAATCTTGGAGTATGCTCACCTTCCCAGACTCCAAGTCATTTACTAACACATATTCTACAGTTGGGAGATGTCTACTGTTGGCCACCCGCTCTCCGACATTTGCAACTTTCTTATAAACTTCTACTCGGCCAAATCCCCTGGTGCGACTCCTTATGATGTAGCCGGATTCCTCCCTGGCAAGACGCCTGGTCTTCCACAACCAGACAAGATCCTGGAGTGGTACACAGAGGAGAGTGGATACGATCCCCGGTCAGAGGTTCCATGGGGAATGTCGTTCAGCATCTGGAAGCTGGCTGGAGTTTGTCAAGGAATTGCGGCGCGATATGCGCTCAGACAGGCGAGCAGCGAGAAAGCGAAACACTTCGCTGTGACGAGGGGTTCTTTGGCAAAGTTCGCTTGGGCATTGGCTAAAGAGGCTGGTGCGGATGAGACTGGGACGAAACTGTAGGATTTGCATTGTTGTAATGCGCGGAATGTCTGAGATTAGTATCTCATGTGCAGATCTAGGCTTCAGACAGTCCAAGGGCAAGCTCAAGTGGATATGACCAGTATAAGTTTGTTAGGATGTCAGATAAAATGAAGAAAAGAGATGGATTTCTAAGTCACTATCACCCCTGTAAAGAACTCACTTCTATTTGTTTCTGTTAGAGCAATTATCAAGGCATTAACATCTTACGGCGGCTGGTATGATCCAATCACTGGTGTTTTAGAAGCGTCACCCCCAAGATTCAAATCCGAAACGCTGGGCTCTAATGGGACAGGCGTCTCTAGTCCAATGACGTTGCACGTCTGTTAAACAATTCCTCCCTCACAACCTAAAATTGAGGTTAACCTACCTACCTAGGTATATTTCGAACGCTGATATCCCCAGTGGCCTTGATCAATTACTTTTGTCCCCTCTTTGTAAACTACCAGGTCCTTGTATCTATCCAATAGCGCCTTTACGCGACCTCTGGGGCATCCTAGGTACCTATCTTATCGCTCGCTACACCGAAAAGGGTCAAACTTGATTTAAACCATCACCGACAACGCGATAACTGCAGTTTATCTTCTTTGTTCTGACCTTGTCCCTCCCTTAAAATATTACTACTATAGGACTACCTGACTGGCCTTTTCATGGCTGGCAACACCCGCCGGCGCATCACGTTGCCGGATCCTGAAGAGCGACGGCCTCTACTGAGTAGGCTCAGCACAGGCGGCCCAGAGAACCGCGATGCCCTGTATAGTTGCATGACAGACCCTCATAGTCACTTACCTGTGTATACCAACATACACCGTATTCGTCGCGACATCATCAGCGTTGTTGAGGATTATTTGAGCCTCGCCCAGCTGCAGGATCTGAGGATTAATGTTACAGTTGTGCGGCCGTTGGTTGATAAGTTCTATGGCCTCAACGACATATCCATCAGTAAGAGGAGTGCTGTTCACCCCCTTTGAGGACCCTTTACTGATATCATCTGATAGTCTACTGCTTGCTGGTTAATCGTGCTCAGTTTCTCGAAGAGCAGTCTCATCTCAATAATCGCCACAATGTCAACTTCACACGTGCTACTCTATGTGAGCTCATAGCTACGCGCATCCTGAGACGCTTTGGTGAAGTGCATGATGATGGCCACGACGGCCTTTTGCTTCTGGCTCACATCCTAGTTGCTGGCTTTGAACCATTCCAGAATGCCCCAGAAGAGATTCGAGACGAGGCAGAGCGCACCACCTCCTGGGTTGATTACAAGACGCTTCCATCTCTTGAGGTGGCCATTGTCACCGAGAGCAAGCATTTCTTGAGTTCAGCGACTTGCCAAAAGGTCGTCAACGCCATATACGAGGGTCGAATTGTCTATACCCCCTCGACATTTTGGGACATCATCCCCGATCATTACAAGTTAAAACCCATCTCTATTTATGATCCTCGCGAATCCCCTCTTCTCAACCAATATCGTCTGATTGTCCCTCGAACCCGAAATGTCCTCGAGTCAATCCAATTCGCCACTCTGCTCACTCTCTACGTCGCGGTTATGGTTCTTAGAAGGAAAAACCGCTATGGACCAACAGAAGCAGCCTTTTCTATCTTTGCTTTTGGATGGGGCTTGGATCAATTTGCTACTATTCTAGCACATGGTTGGTATGCTACAGACTTAATTGTTGTGTTGTCACCCGAGTACTAACCTTTCGAAAGGAACGTCTATACCCAGAACCTGTGGTCATTCCTTGATGTGGCTTTTGTTCTCATCTACTGGGTATATCTTGTATTGCGGTTCTTGGGCTGGAAGCTTGGTGACGCAAACCTAGACGAACAGGCGTTTGATGTGCTTGCACTCGCCGCTCCTGTCTTGGTTCCGCGGCTTGCTTTCAATCTGCTGAGCGACAATCTCGTGTTCTTGTCCCTCAGGTCAATGATGGCGGACTTTTTCTTCCTCACAGCTCTATCTGCCTGGTGTTTCTTGGGGTTTCTGCTGTCACTTCTGTGGCTCGGCGAGGGGGCACACCCCATCCTGTAGGTTTCTGCACCACCTTGGTGAAACGTGGTATTAATATGCATCAGAACAATATCGAAGTGGATGATCTATATCTGGTTTGGATTGGATGGAACAGGTATCCATCGATCGGTCAGTCTTCGTCTCCCCCTCGCACCCTTGACAAATCCTGACATCTCTCCTAGACCGAGTTTCACTGGCTGCTAGGACCTAGTGTGATGGTAGCCTTCGCTTTCCTCGGGAACACCCTCTTCCTTACCATTCTCGTATCGATGCTTTCCAATACATTCAGCAACATTTCGTCAAACGCCATAGCGGAGATCAGTTTCCGCCGAGCAGTTCTGACACTCGAGGGCGTCAAGGCCGACGCTGTGTTCGCATACCAACCCCCGTTCAACATCCTCGCCGTATTCTTATTCATCCCGCTTAAATTCGTCGTGAGTCCGCGCTGGTTCCACAAGATCCACGTCACGGCAGTCAAGATTCTGAATCTCCCTCTCCTGCTTATCATCGCTGTTGCTGAGCGCCGTCTGCTCTGGCCTTCCCGCGAGATCGAAGACCCAACCGAGATCAAATCTCCGCCCCCGACAAAGAGCCAGTTTTGGAAGAAGTGGCGGTTGACGGTCCACCGAGACCTTCGTGCCGTCTTTCAAGTGCCACCGCCTGATACTGTCCACGACGATATCGCTGTCGATGACGATCTCACACATCATCTCATCCGTCGACAGTTCACACGCAATGCGACAAATGATATAGAGCCCCGCAATCTACATAACACCTCTAGGCCCGATCCCGGGGCTCGACGTCCATCTCGACGAGATTCTATGTTTCCCGGGATCCCACCTCAGAAGCTTCGAGGATCTTTCTCCGAGAATGACATGTTTGAGGGAACTACAGATAGGCTGGCCAATATGGAGAAGGCGATACGGCGCATGGAAACGATGCTATCTCGCCTAGTTCCATCTGTCGAGGATGCCATCAGCGATGATGAGCTGGAGCAAAGCGGGACACTTAGGGGAGACAATACTGCCGAGTCATCATTTAGAGGTTTAGCGGATCGTGATTCATGATGGTTGCATGGTGTTTGGGTATGGGCATAAACAGAATTGCATACGCAGAGAGCCAGGGAAGGGCGTTGCGATACAATGTTATTGTGGTGGCCTTTTTCTTTTAGCACTGATTAACTGGCACTGTTGGAAACATCCATTCCTGTCACCACATAGCCAGCCGTCCTTCCTTTCCTACCTTGCGAATAGAACTTCTTTTTCGTCTTTCTCCCTCAGCAATAATTCCAACACATCTTTTTCTGGCGATTGATTCCTGGACATCTCAGAATGTGCACTCTCACGTATTTTCAGCACAAAGAATGCAAACACACCTGGCTTGTCCTCACGGAACCCTGCGAGCCATTCATGGGCCTCAACAATTGCCCGACCTTCTGCGATGGTACAGCCAAGGAACCACCAAAATTCTATAACACAAAGAGCCGACCATGTCCTCGATGCCAGCTGCACGGCATATACGATCGTAATCTGGTTCGGATGGTGGAGGACATGGGCTGCGGAATTAAATGGGGAGTTGGGCCAGGACAGGATGATTGGGGTTGCGAGATGAAGTGTGCGATTCTTTGAGGCGATCTTTGCGACGGATTTTTGCACGAGCCCCGAATTCCTGGTGTTTTATACCAGTTTGATCAGGGAATATCTCGAGCAACAATTGTAGGTTTCTGTCTGCCTGGTTCATGCACCCCCAAGATATCCATCCATACTGATCCAAGTGAATCAGAAATGTTCTTTTCCAAGCCGACAGAGGGCGATCAGTTCGAAGCTGAGCCCGCTACCACTCTGCTATGAACCAGAGATTTGTGTTTTCCACCAACGACAGCTTTATATCCGTCTTTTGTTCCTGTCAACTATTTAGTCTCAATTTCTTGACTCTAGAAATACATCACGTGCCGCATCCACCCAGTGCCATCACAAGTTTTCAACCTATGATCCAAATACAAATGAAGCCTCACCACAATCACAACGTATTTCACATTGACAGGCACACATCATGCTACCAACACCAGACACTTCGCACGTCCCATATGAGCGAGTCTACGAACCTGCCGAGGACTCATACCTCCTCTTGGATACGCTCTCATCTGCCACAGAGACCGAGTATCTCCAAAACGCGTTTCCCGATATAGCGCCACTCGTGGTGGAGGTCGGCACAGGCTCAGGTGTCGTCCTCGCCTTCGTCCACGCACATGCGCAAAAGCTTTTCGGCACGCGCGAGGTCCTGACTGCGGGGGTTGACATGAACGCCTTTGCGTGTCGGGCTACTGTCGGGACAGTTGCAAAGGCAGCCTCTGACAACCCCGACTCACATGCATTTTATCTGGGCTCATGCATGGGAGATCTCACAACCCCATGGCGCGAGGGCACCATCGACGTCCTCGTTTTCAACCCGCCATATGTGCCCACGCCTGAGATGCCTGCCAGACCAGATTCGTTTAGCGCAGACGACCTTGCAGTCACTACAAAGCCTTCATTTGACGACGATTCGTATCTGTTGGCCTTATCTTACGCAGGCGGCTTAGATGGCATGGAGACAACAGATAGACTGATCGAGGCACTACCCCAAACCCTGTCCCGACGCGGTTGTGCCTACCTCCTCCTCTGCGCTCAGAATAAGCCAGATCAAGTCAAGAGTCGCATTGAGGGGTTTGGGCCTGAATGGCGGGCTCAAACTGTTGGAAACAGCGGCAAACAGGCCGGATGGGAGAAGCTGCAGATCGTACGGATATGGCGAGACTATTCAAAAGCCGTAGAATAAGAAAAAAAAATGTTGCGATGGAATTGGGGTGTGAGAGCATATATTCAGATATCTTTCCAGAACAAGAAAAGTGATACCCACCCCACGCGGGTTCATACAGTTTTAATGGCCAAACAACCCGAACGCCAGGTTCCATTTGAATGTGATATCTTCGCGATAACGTAATCACTCCACATCAACGACGCGCATGGGCGCCTCCATCCTTTCCCCGTCTTGTCATGTCTCCTGAATCTTCTTGTGTCCTTCTCGTTTAGGGCCGTCCTCCGCGACCGCGGCCTCCACCACGTCCGCGTCCCCTGGGACCGCCTCTGCCTCGTCCTCCTCGTCCTCCCCGCTCTGCCTCCTTTCTGGCCTTGTTCTTCGGCTTAGGGGCGTCGTCGATGAGCAGTGTGTCAAGGGGTAAGGAGTCGGGCAGGATAAAATATCGGATTGTTGAACCTCGGATATTCATCGTTTCCAAAGAGATGGGCTCTTGCCCTTTGATGGTCATTTTGACGGTTCGGAGGGCGGTGTTCATCTGAGGGGAGACTGAGGAAATGGTACCATGAACAATGGTTCCTAGACGACAATTAGTACACGGCTACTCGCATGGCTGTAAGCTTGCTTAGGGGCGAGGAGAAATATATTACCATTTTTCAGTTCAATTGTCACCGTTTCGTTGGCGCATTTCATAAGAAAACTAGTCGTCCCAAGTCAGTCCAGAAGCTCAAACTTGACAAGAAGCTCAGCACAATCCGAGTGTGCGCAAGAGACAGAGGGAGTTCTTACCGAACAAGCTTCATATTGGCTACTTGAGAGGGTTTAGGTGCTTAAACTGCTGTATGATTGTTTGGGGTGGAAGCAGGCGGTTGTTAGGCGCGTCGTTGTAGGATCGATTTGGCGTGAGGCTGAGAGGCTGGCTATAGCAATGCCGCTTGAATTGTCGGTCGGAAAAATCGAGGGTCGGAGCTGCATTGTCCCCACGTGACTTCGTGCTGCGAAGCTCGGTGCTTGGTCAGTTCCCCACACAAGTTGCATCATTGGTGCAGCTTATCGATAACAGCGCCTGGGGTTGAACTAACAATGGATGCAGAAGCCATAAATTGTAGCCTCGTCAACTTGAGCTTGCCCATCTCTCAAAGAGTGCCTTACCAGTGCCCCGGGGTTTCCGTCCTTTTCTTTGCCTTCTCTCTACCTGGCGCCCGGGGAACTTCTCGCCTAAATTTTCTTCAACTTAAGGTGCCTAGGTAGTCTTTGCCTCTTCGTTCCTTTATTCATTCGCCGATTTCGCCTTTCACTGCGCCCCGCCTGGAGGCTACGGCTTCCATCCATCATTACCCCACCATATTCAAGGCTCAGGATCAACGCGGAAAACGCAAGAGAGCTCCATTCTTCCCTACGAAACCTAAAAACCTACAACATCCTGAAATTCTTCACCTGGGGCGATATCGCCAGCTGTATTGCCATAAGTATGATCTCGGGACGTGGAGGAGCCGGCGCTCGGGGAAGGATTCGTCCTCCTCGTCGCATTGTGCGTGTAAGTTCGATGCACTGAAATGTTCGTATCTAAATCCTGAATTATGACTTTGCCTTTAGCCAAATGAAGCTGCCGAGGGTTCCGATTTCGAGGCTTGCTGGAAGATGCTAGATGAAGCCCTGCGCGACATTCACATGAAGAATTGCAGCCGACTGTCATTCGAGGAGCTGTACCGAGCCGCCTACAAGATGGTACTTAAGAAGAAAGGCGAATTGCTTTATGATAGGGTCAAAGCTTTCGAGGAACAGTGGTTCGCAGATCATGTTATCCCCAAGATTCGAGAACTCGTCAGCAAGAGCCTGATCAACATTGGCGCCGAACGAACCTCGACGACGTCCGTCAATGAGAGGCGGCAGACAGGGGAGAGATTCCTCAAAGGTCTGCGTGATACTTGGGAAGATCATAACATGTCAATGAACATGACCGCCGATATTCTTATGTATCTCGACAGGGGCTACGCGCAGCTCGAGGCCCAACGAACCCCCATCTTCGCCACCACCATCGCGCTTTTCCGTGATCATATTCTACGATCTTCGCTGAACACGAACACAAAGGGCAAGGTGATCGATATCCTTATATCAGTGGTCCTCGACCAGATTGATATGGAGCGCGAAGGAGATATTATCGATAGAAATCTTATCCGAAGCTGTAGTCGAATGCTCAGCAGCCTCTACGAAACCGAAGAAGAGAAGGAAAACGATAAACTGTACATGACAGTATTCGAACCTCGCTTCCTCGAGAACAGCAAGACATACTATGCCGCTGAGTGTGAGAAACTACTACGCGAATCGGATGCCGGAGCTTGGTTGCGACACACCCAACTGCGACTGAATGAAGAAATCGATCGATGCGGAACAACAATCGAATTAGAGACATTACCCAAAGTCACGCAAACAATTGATCAAGAACTCATAGTCAAGCATCTGTCCGAATTTTTGGCTCTTGAAGGGAGTGGCCTGAAATGGATGATTGACAATGACAAGATTGACGACCTCTCGATTCTCTACAAACTCATCTCCAGGGTCGATTCAAAGAAGACTGCTTTACGAGACATTTTGCAGAGTCGCGTGGTTGAGCTAGGCCTGGAGATTGAGAAGGTACTGAAGAACACCGATTTCTCGTCCGGTCATGGCGAAGGAGACGAGGCCGGTGAAGGGGAAAAGACAAAGATCTTGAACCCTGCGGCGCAGCAGACAGCTGCTGCGATTAAATGGGTAGACGATGTACTCCGTCTGAAGGACAAGTTCGATAACCTCTGGGCTCGTTGCTTTCAAGGAGATCTTATTATCCAAAGCGCATTAACCAAGAGCTTCTCTGACTTCATCAATATGTTCAGCCGCAGCTCTGAATATGTCTCTCTGTTCATCGATGACAACCTGAAGAGAGGAATCAAAGGCAAGACAGAGGCAGAAGTCGATATCGTTCTAGAGAAAGCTATCGTCCTGATCCGATACCTTCAGGATAGAGATCTGTTCCAGACATACTACCAGAGACATCTGGCAAGACGTCTTCTTCACGGAAAGTCCGAAAGCCATGATGTTGAAAAGCAGATCATTTCCCGAATGAAACAAGAACTGGGCCAACAGTTCACCAGCAAGTTCGAAGGCATGTTCAGAGATCTTGTCACGTCAACAGAGCTCACCAGCGGCTATCGTGACCACATTCGTGACCTGGGAGATGGCAGCGGCAAAACCATCGACCTTAATATCAACGTTCTCACTACAAACTACTGGCCACCCGAGGTCATGGGCCGAACTACGCAGATTGGCGAAGGATCTCGTGTTACGTGCACATACCCCCCTGAACTGCGACGACTGCAGGCGAGCTTTGAGCAGTACTATCTAACTAACCGTAATGGACGCAAGCTCACCTGGATTGGTACCACTGGCAGTTCAGATGTCAAATGTACCTTTCCGGCCATCCCTGGAAAGTCTGGCCCGCTCTCTCGGGAGCGAAGATACGAGATCAACGTACCGACTTTTGCGATGGTTGTCTTGCTTCTCTTCAACGATCTTGAGGAGGGCCAGTCATTAACCTTCGAAGAGATCCAAGCTAAGACCAACATCTCAACTCCAGATCTCATGAGGACGCTGACAGCTATTGCTGTGGCACCCAAGTCCCGCGTCTTGATGAAAGATCCTGCCAATAAATCTGTAAAAGCAGGCGATAAGTTTTCTTTCAATGCATCTTTCCAGAGCAAGACCATACGAATCAAAGCACCCATCATCAACGCGGTGTCCAAGGTCGAAGATAATACGGAACGAAAGAACACTGAGGAGAAGAACAACCAAACCAGAGCTCACGTTGTCGATGCGGCAATTGTGCGAATCATGAAGTAGGTCCCAAGTCTAAGTCTTACTGCCAGCTTTGGTTACTAACTCTCGTAGATCTCGAAAGGAGCTTTCTCACTCACAGCTCACTAGTGAAGTTCTGTCACAGCTCTCCGGCAGCTTTCGCCCCGAGGTTGCCCTCATCAAGAAGCGTATCGAAGATCTCATCGCGAGAGAATATCTTGAGCGCCCTGATGAAGATGACGCGCCAACTTTGTATCGCTACGTAGCGTAGACTACAAGCTCAATCTCACGAATCACGAAAGAAAACGAATCAGCATTTTCCAGTCTTGCAAGGCGTTGGAATGATAGGATCCATACACTATTGATATACATAGCGTGGCTGCACATGGAGGCTTTTGCTTATTGCAGGCAAGGAAAGGGAACCGTGTCAGGATGGTCGGACATTTGTTGCTAAGGACGACACGAGAACCCTCCAAAGATTAAAGCAAGGATTTGAGGTCTATAAAGACGTATGGTTATCTACAAGTCTTACCTGCAGCGCGAATGGATTTGGCTTTCAGTCAGTCTTGGTTCATGGCCAGCTGGTTTTATTTAGAAGGAACAAGAACTACCTGAGCATAACTCTTCATCCAAACAGATGTATGAATGCCAAAGAGACATTCATGTAAATATGTCACAGATTAAAGAAATCAGTAATGAATTACTGTTGATTCGAAATCATTACCTGACTTGCCGGTGAATCATGAACAGTCACGTGATCGTAGCCAACGGTGCCTTTGCTGTAGACGCTATCATGATGGAGATCTTGCATCACCAAACAAGCATCTAAGCGCCTTCCTCTACACAGAAACTCGCTCGAGAAACAAAACTGATTGCAACTACAAGACAAACACTTGTGAACCCCCAAAACATAGTCGATTCATCCTGCGTAAAGCCTCAAGCGCAAAAGAACCACCGACACCATGCTCTTTTTCAGGTACCATCGAACTATCTTCTCTGTGGTTAACGCCCTTATTCGCACACTAACACGCTATTCATACAGCTTTTTCAAGACGCTCATTGACCATGAGGTCACTGTAGAGCTCAAGAACGACATTCAGCTAAAGGGGATTCTCAAGAGTGTGGATCAGTACCTCAACATCAAGCTTGATGACATCCAGGTTGTTGAAGAGCTCAAGTACCCTCATCTTGTATGTCGACTATACCCTTATCCTGCGCGTTGTGAAAGAAACTTGATATCTGACTTCATAATATCACAGAGCTCTGTCAAGAACGTCTTTATTCGAGGCTCAGTTGTGAGATACGTTCATCTTCCCGGCGCGTCAGTTGACACACAGCTGCTTGAGGATGCTACACGGAGGGGTACGTTGCGCTTTCAAAGAAAGTCATGCTATATACTAACACGAGTGTTACAGAAGCTGCAGCTCAGCAAGCCAAGGCGAAATGAGCAGTTAAGGCGATGGATGAGAGGCAAGATAGACTTTTTCGCAGTTGACTCTTACTACTATGGTAAATGGAGAGTGATATTTACGTCGAAACCGGGATGATCACCAGGGAGAATTCATGAGGCGTTTTCTCCTGATGCGGATAATGAGTTGTCCTTCTTTCCCTTTTAAACATTATACAGAACTAAGAGTCATGAAACAATTGACGACATTGATGTGCCAACACGGTATCTAAAAATTAAAGGTCATCAGATGGAACTCCCGCTCAAGAGAATACTATACAAATTGCTCCACGTCATAATCGATCACCAAAATGCTCCGCCGTCTTTACCAGGTTTACCGTCCCAGAGTTCCTGATCCGACATCCTGTCATCGTCTTCACCTTCGATGAGTGGCATTACCAATCCAGCCCGTCTTCTTTCTGAAAGCCAGCGGTCTATCCAACCCTTCATGCGCTTTCTTGACTGTTCACTCCCTACGTTGACTGTCGGGATGACTTTCTCTATTCTCAGACCCATAACAAACATGGCGAGCTCTCGGAAGCTACTGTGTTCTGAGTAAGGAACCCCAAAGCACATGGCTTCCTTGGTACTGCCTCTCTGCGGAACAAAATCTTTATATCCAAATCGGGTTCGCCAGCCCTTGTCGTGAAGGATCTGCTGGGTATGAATGCTGCCAGGTGGTGTGTTCGCACCGATGGCTTTGCCTGCTGGTCGGAAGTTCCAACCACTTGGCCGAAGTCCGACAATACGACTAAAGTACGGCTTATAGCTATTTAGGTATTCCTGAAGAGTTTCTGCACGAATCTCCATCAACATCTGCATGTGCACCTGTGCCTCGAGGGGATCAGATGTAAGGAGTGCCGTGAGCTCTGGGTCGTCCAGCTGTTTGCAGATCTTGATCTTGCCAGGTGATGCAAAGATTTTTGACTTGAGTGCTTTAGCAATGGAGATGCATATACGTTCTTTTCCAATAGAGTACGTCCCGCAAATTACGAGGAGACGTTGAGGGTGTTTCTTTTTGGTATCGACTTTTGCGTTCTCATCAGGTTTTGTGTTTGGGAAGAACTTGCTGACTGTTGGGGTTCCTTGTCCGCTAGCCTTTTCCCAAATATCGTCTTTGCAGTTGGGATCGGGAGACAATGAGCCACAAAGATCGGCACAGGCCTTGATAACATCATTCTGGGGCGGAAAAGAATATCGTGGGTTGAGATACGTGGTGTCCAAGTAGCAGATATCAATCTTTTGTTGCTTGGACTTTCCAGAGATCGCGTCGATAGTCTCTGGCTTGAGAAGAGGATGCTTGATATGAGCAGGGCAGGCACGGAAGTCTCCACAATGTAATATGCGTTGAAGACGGCTGTTGGGACCTTGCTTCATAGTCTTTTCAAAAAGGAAGAGAGAGCTTCCCGGGCAATGATTTGCTGGTATCATCGTTACTTTCGCGCCTTCTGTCCCTGGGATGTCATAGGATTTGTCGAATTCAAGCTCCACAACCCATTTTGCCGCTGTACGAAGTTGATTTCTGACGAGACTGCCCGTGACTTTGCTGCAGTATATAGGGCCGTGACACCATCTTGCTGTAAGACCGATATAGTGGTCACTGTGAAAATGACTCAAGAAATATGCTTTGCAACCCTGAACGGCGCCATACCGGAAAGCGTCCACGCAAATGGAAAATCCAGGCATGATCTTATAGAAAGGGCACGTTCTCTCATATGCTTGCTTTCCTCGAGAAGCGTGCTCAGCAGCAGCAGCCTCTTGCCATGCTGAGTCTTCGGCATTGTTGGACATAAGTTTCGAGAAAGCAGACTTCGGTGCCGGGCCAGAACTTGTAACTTCGAAAGGGTTCGCCTGACCGGGCCTGGGAACAGCAGCCCGTGCAAATCTTTTGCTGACGTCGGTCGATTCGACCTCAGGGGTCGAGACAGGGATCGCTGATGTTGGTTTCTCCGACTTGATTCGTTCTGGTGTTGTTTGCTGCGGTTTTGGCAACGGGATCGGGTGTCCATCAAGGCAGGAGTTGACATGTCGTGTTGCTTCATCTATGGAGATCCCTACCAGGCTTCCGTTGCATATAGGACAACACTCTGTCATATGATCATCGTCAAGGGGGTCATCGGCCAGGTCTTCGCTTGAAATCCCTGCCTCCTCCGCTTCTAACCTAGCTTGCTCTCTCATGTAACGCATTACTCGCATTTCCTCCCCTTCGAGATCGTTCAGATCTGGGGACTCCTCGTCTACTATTTCTCCGAGATCGTCGAATTGTTGGTATGTTGAATCTTCCCGTTTCAAGGCTTGTGTGGTAATATCTGCTTCCTTCTTTTCATCGATCTTAGTAAAACCGTCCGTCTGGACTTCGTTTTGCGGGGAAAGCTCCGTACATTGGCCATTCTTTTCAGGCTTGTTGTTTGTGGCCATAATGTCGTCTTCGGGCTCATCCTCACTGTCCGAGTCCATTACGAATGGTGTCTTAATTTTAGATTTCGTTGACTTGCGTGGGGGTTCGCCATCACACTTGGCGGGTGAGAGCCGGTCTTCAGCCTCGACCACCTGCTCAGCTTTTACTGAGACTTTGATCTTGGACAATTGTTCAGGTTCTTCGCTTAGTTTCCTCTTTTTATTGGGCGATTCGGCCTCATTGTATCGGATCGAGTCGTCGGCGTCATCGGCAGTGTAGAGGTCTTCGTGCTCAATAGGGTCTGGCGCAGCCCCAAGAAACAGAGAGGCCTCATGTTTTTCAGCCTTTTTGAAAAAGCTAAGGATACTTTGATTGGCCTTGACGGGCTTTTTGGGTAAATGCGAGATAGCCTTCTTCGGTGTATGAGACTGGCTGGACTTTTTCGGTGCCACCATGATGATAGCTAATGAAATAGTGAGTATTGACAGGGTAGAGAACTGAAGAAAGACACAGGTCCTTTATTTGTCATCAAGACAATGAGCAGAAGGCAAAGAATGCATGCAAAGATATCGTAGAAAATCAGCAGCCAACCAAAATTGAAGTGGGATGCTTTGAACCTCTTAACGCGAATGCGCGATGAGTGGCAAAGTGGATGTCGCGAGATCACGTGACGATAGTAGAGAGCAAATTCATGGGTGCCTCTTCGCCACGCCTCTCTGACTGTGTCCCTACGTAGCCTACCTAGCCACCGAAGCTATCATTTTTATAGCTCATGACCACATGGTTATTTTATGAATTCCAGTGTTTATGGCTACGCTTTTCTTCTGGTGCAGTATGTCACAAAATTTCAGTCTAATTCAATATTTATTTCGCAGATTACGGTATGCAAATCTGCTGTCCCCCGCGAGTCTTTACTTCGACGTGAATCTAAGCTTGGTCTACAAAAGTTTGGTTGTGAGGAATGTGCAAAACCCCGTCACAAATGTCTCTCCAGAACTTCAACTGCTCTAAATGTAAAATAATACGATATCTCTCGGCAGCAGAAGTGGCCTTCTTCGCACCGCTGGATATACCAGCCAAGATGCAATGAAAGCATAATAATGAATGTGCTGAGAGACACAAGCATGTGCGCATCGCTTGGAGACAGTGTAATACCAAGGACACCCTGGGAACGATTCAACCACGCAAGCGCCGTTGAGCCATCACCAATGAACCAAAAATCAGGACAGTATCGAGCCATTGTACGGCCCGTGTTGAGGGGTTAGCCTCAACAAGAACAATTACTACACTTTGATCCGAGCCTCATGGCAAAGAAGAAGGTGAAGAAGAAGGAAGGAAAACGGGAAAGCAATGTTGGGAGGAAGCGCTTCTTTTATACCCGGCCGGTATGATCATGATGGCCTTGAGACTCAGGTTGAATTTCGAGAATGACTCACGAGGGCAAAGTTATGTAGGCAAAAGCTTGCCTGCAACCTATGATCAACGAGATGGCTTTGCCACTTTGGTAGGTGACCAATATAAGAGAAAGGTATAGCTCACTTGGGTTGTTCGGTTCCTGTTGTTGCCTGCTTGGGGCTGAAGTTTATCACTGTTGCCTGGGATAATGCTTATTTGCGGAAAGCAAGAAAAAGACTGGCACGCATACCTAGGGTACTTTCTCATTGGATCAACACAAGAGCACATTATTTTGTCAGTACGATATTGCCACGTATTGCAGGGCCATAACCTAACTATAGCATCCAATTATTGTTCTTGGGGTATTGTTGAAAGCATTTGCTTATGATGACTCTTCTATTCTCTCAAGCATCTTTCCATGAACCCCTTTCCATCCAGCCTCGCATGAGCTTTTGATCATACCCATGATCAGCCTAGAGCATGTAATGGAGACCTGCTCTACGATCTCCAGGTTTCCACCCTCAGATTCTTTAATCTTCCAAACAGTCTCAAGTACCAGACCCATTGGCCCACGCGTTCTCACAAACACACCGCTTTCCAGGTCGAAAAACTCATATGAACTAATCACATCGGAGTCCCAAAGCCCTGCTGGTAAGGTGTGAATTCGGTCTGTGACTGAGTAACACTCTGGTGCTGCGATAGGCTTGATCTCAAGTGTGTCAGGAACCGATGGAGTAGGGTCCGGAGTGGCCATAGCCTCGAATTTGGACATATAAGGATTACAATGTAAGAAGAAAACATGGTCGTGGAGCATCTCTATGGCTTTTGGGGCTGCAGCAGTCGAGGAGATAGGCGATGTGTGCTGTATCTGGGCGGTTGTTTGAAACATCGTGGCTACTGAAGTGAGTCGTTGTTGTCCGAATTCCTTGATGGATGTAACCGCAAAGAGATATTGTGAGTTAGGGGGGTGTAGAAATGTTCAATACTATGATTGTCGGAATGCAAAATGTTCAATCCTGATCAATGTGCACTTGGTGTTGCGGAAGAAGACACCGACTCAGCAATAACGTTGAAAGGTATTGAGATACGGACTGAAGGGTATTTCAAACGACAATATATTACCTATGAGAACTGACCTTCTCAATGAAAAAGTATTGTATCTGACTCGGAATGTGACAGTTCTAGTTTCATCGCCGTATCATGATTGCAATTGGCCGCTAACGCAAACATACCTTAGCGCCTAACTGAAGGGAATTGGAGATGAGGCTGTCGTTGCGCATTAGCCACTCAAGTCAGCCCCACAGCGTTGTCAAGTCTGCTCATTGGTTACCACCTTAACCTGTAACTTGGGGAAAGCGTCAAGGGCCCCTTTCCAAATATGCAACATTGAATGTTACAACAAACCCAATTCCTTCAACGCTTTCGACATCGCCAAAAACTCACCTCCCGTCATCACTCCTCGCCTTCTTTCTCACAGCTCGCACTCAGCCCAATCTTCATCTTCGCTCGCATGCATCACATCCCCAGGCTATCATGAAGTGAACCAACCAGGCACATCAAGCTCAAGCGATCTTAGCTTAGTTACACATCCCCTGCTAAGTAACCCGAGACAGGCCTCACAACATTCATCACCATGTCGTCGCTTCAAGTCAGAGGGCCGGACTTTTCGGTCACAAAGCAGAAAGCGATTGAAGACGCAAAGAAAATGCAAAAAGTGGTTGCCGAGCAGTGCTCAAAAGCCGGAAAGGACCCTCCACAGTATCGACTTTCAGAGCTCATTGGCAAAGGCAGTTTTGGTCGGGTCTACAAGGCCACCTCTCTAACGACGAATCAGCTCGTTGCCGTTAAAATAATCGACATTGAGGAGAGTGACACAGTTAACCCCAAGCTCGCCGACACATATAGCGACTTGCTCAAGGAAATTAGTGCCCTGCAACTGCTCAGCAACAGTGGCGCCAAGAACATCAATCATGTTATCGATGCTCTCCCTGTCGGGCAGTCCATGTGGATGATTACAGAATACTGCGCTGGAGGCAGCGTGGCTACCCTTATGAAACCAACCTCACCGGGTGGCCTTCAGGAAAAATGGATTATTCCCATTTTGCGCGAAGTGGCCGAAGCTGTCTACTGGGTTCATGGCCAGGGTATCATTCACAGAGACATCAAGTGTGCCAATATCTTGGTCACGGAGGAGGGGAACGTCCAGCTTTGTGATTTTGGAGTTGCTGGTGTTATCGAAACCAAGTTTGACAAACGCTCAACGGTCATTGGTACACCACATTGGATGGCCCCAGAGCTATTCGACCCTGCGGCTTCTTATGGTACTGAGGTGGATATATGGGCTTTTGGCGCCATGGTCTATGAAATTGCATCGGGTCTACCACCAAGCGTGGCTGCAGGTATGATGGACTTCAACAGACTAGGCTCATACCTCAAACAACACATCCCTCGACTTGATGGCGACCGATATTCCCAAGGGTTGAAAGACCTCGTGGCGTACTGCTTGGTTGATGACCCTAAGAAACGCCCACCAATTGAGCAAATCCAGAGACACCGTTACATATTCAACACACAGGATGCTTATCCTGCTTCGAGCTTGGCACACTTGGTTAGAGGCTACAAGTTGTGGGAAGCTCAAGGTGGTGTTCGCAAGTCCCTCTTCTCCGCAGGAGGAGCCCAGGGGCCATCTGACCTCGTTAACTTGGCCTTGGACAATGATGAGTGGAACTTCAGCACAACCGCTGCGTTTGATCAACAGGTGCTTCAAACTGGCGACGCTCAAGCTGTGTTCGATGTTTATGGCTCCAACGTCGACTTCAAGCAGGATGAGTTCGACGATGCGTCTAGAACCCAAAAGCCAAAATCACGTCGACGTCCGCCACCTCACCTTCCTTCCGTCAAGGCACCACTGGAAAAGCTATTTGACCCAAATACGATATCGAACTACGAGGACAACTCACGAGCATATTATGGCCGTCCGTTTCCTCCGCCTACTGCCGATTTCACCCCCCCACCACCGCCCCCTGCGTCGGATTTACCGCTCAGAGACGACTCATCTCAGTCTCCTGGTGTGAGAGAATCCCTGATTGATCTTGACATGTCCCTAGATGGTAGCAATCTCTCCGAATTTGTTGACCTGAACACAATTAGAGCTGGAGATCCCAGGGCATCGACCGACTATGACTTTGGAGATGTTTCCTATAATAAACCACCACTTAGTGATCCAGCAGATATGATGAACAACAACCGCCGAACACGAGATTGGAAGTTTCCTTCCATGGCCCCTCCCGCCTCAGCAAACCCGGAAATGTTCAGATTTCCGTTCAACGATGACCAAGGGCCAAGTACCAGCCGCCTCATCCACCCTCCGACGGAGCCAATCCAGCCTTCGGCGCAGTTCAATGACCTTGCAGTTCCCTCCCCAGTCAACAACCGGGCGTCGTCAGGCAGCCTCATTGACTTAGACATGGGTCTAGCTGATCCTATTCCTATGAGCGACTATACAAGGCCGTCCACATCGCACTCGGACGTTGGATCATTGGCTGGCTCGGAGGTAGGAGGGGCTGATCCTTTCCAGCTAGAAAAGCACGCCTCTCTTTACCTTATGCCCAACAGTATACGAGAGCCATCCATCTATGTATCCGATGACTCTGAGTTTGCAAATGCCGTCGCGGACCTTTCGCTGAATAACACCCAGCGACATGATCCTCAGATGTCCTACCAGCAAACACAGGTTCCCCTGCATCAACCCCAGGGACAACTCCAATCTTTCCAGACCAACGGGGGCACCCCGAGTGAAAGACCCTACTCCCTTAGCGAGTTCGCCGATACTGACCCTGAATCTTTTACTCCGCAAACGCTTGCCGCCCCTGAACTTCAACCTCCTCCACTTCAGCCTCAGCCAGATCGGTCACCAGTTCGCGACGACTACCCTCGATCTTATCAACAACAGCCATCCCTCCCACCTGCACCCACTGCACCCTCACCTCAAGTTATGGAAGGCCAGGCCTCATCAGAACACGTCAAGGAGGAGCTTCGACGCATGGCCATGAGCCTAAGTGATCATCTCAGCCACGCGAATACATACTTGTCGGGACTTCCACTTCGAAGAGCGAGCACAACAAGGATGGAATCTATTGAGACCCCTTGAAGACATTCATGAATGTATATGGGCACTAATATTATAACATCGCGTGATCTTGGAGTTTGGAAATGGCTTCCCGTTACATTGAAAACCGGTAAAGGCTGGATATTGTGCAATACAATATATGATCATAATAAACCACGAATAGAATGTTCAAACATCTCCCCATTCACGAAGCTCCCGCATTTGGCTTATTGAAAACCGACCAGGTCTCCCATTAGCAAAGCTTGGTACCTTTCGATGGCCTCTCCCAACCTGATCAAAACTCCTGCCGCCAGCATTTTGACCTCGTTCTCCTCCCCACCATCCTCTCCTCTAGTCTTCTCGAACACTATTGCGACCCATTCTCTTGTCTCCATCACCTCTCTACCTTGGGTTTCACAAAGCCGACGCATGTCGCCGCCATTTACTTCCAGCAGGGACGCCATAGCCACGAGCCACCCTTTCATGGCGCCGAGATCGCCAAAAACATGTACACGAACGCCCAGAAGCAGATCCCATAGCTCCGCAGTCAACTGTGGCAGCGAAAGTGTGGAGGGCCCAGCGGCATGAACAACAATACCTAACGTCTGTAGGTAGAGCGCCAGAAGCGCATGGTTGAGTATGATGGGTTTGGCAGAACGAAGCGCGACCTGGAAATGTGCTGTGAGTGGGGAGAAGAAGGACGTCGCAAGCAGAGCGGCAGTCGTATTGGGAATAGCACGCATACGAGGCTTGGAACTAGATTTGGACTTGTAGCGGGCCGTGAAGCTTTGAAGCTTCAAAATATCAGGGCCTGTGTTGGCATCGGCTGCTTCTGCAGCAAGCGGGGCAAGGAATGAAGATGTCAGCGACTGTGAGATATTCTCGAGAGCAGTTGATGGGAGTGCTTTCAGCTGGGACGACGGCAGGGAGCTGCTATCATTTCCCGAGCCAATGTAAAGTTGGTCCATCTTTTCAGGTAGCCGCTTTGAGGGAAAGGCGGCAGCCGACTGGTATTGGGATACTTCGAAACCCGCCAATTCTCGTGCTGACAGGCCCAACGTGACGAGTATTGATGTCCGTTGGTGGAGGGAATAGTCGCCCTCGAAGAAAGTTCGAGCAAACCATGGGGCCATTGTCTTAGGTTGAGAGACAACAAGCGCTAGCATAGAGTGTAACCGTAAATCATCGAAATTTTCGATCTCAAACTTATCTTGTATACCCACCAAAAGCCCAGCCAACTCATCAGCGTGGAAACTTACCTCGGTTCCATAATTGGCCTTGCGTCTGATGAGAATCGGAGCTGTCTGTAAAGCGAGCAACTGTTTGTCGTATGATTCAGAGTCTCTGAAATAGGATATGAGATCTCTGATATAAACCGGCGGCTTGGGCTTGTTGCGTTGTACAAGTGTTGCGTCATCATCCGAGTCTTCAGGGTCAGAGTCCTTCGAGTAAGGGGCAAGATCGTCGTCCTCTTCTGAAGAATCAATCTCCTCAATGATGGCTTTTGGCTTGGCTTCGGTAACAACAGGCTTCTTCTTTTGCTTGGCTTTCTTTTGAAGAGCCTCGCTTGGCGTTGAAGGCTTTCGCTTCTGAGGGACAGTCTCAATAGCGTGGTCGAATAGGATAGGGTCGATGGGGCCAACAGGGTCAGAAACCTTGGTTAGATTTTTTAATTGCTGCGCTTCCTCTGTCTCTGTCTGCTCCATCTTGAAATCGAGCCTCTGCTTCTTATCATCGATCAAAGCAGACAACGATTCCCCGACTACCAACCCAAGAAACTGAGCTCTGGGCTGTGTGGAACCAATGCGATTGGAGATGGTGTTCATATATGTGCCCACTCGCATGAGCAACGTCAATTTCATTGGAGAGACTCTGTGTACGTAGCCAGCGGCAAGGAGCAGGATTTGCGTGTGCGCTACAAAATGTCAGCAAGCATGTAGATAAATCGCCGTGGGGATCGTCGTTACCATCTTGCTGAAGCATTGCTGAATGTCTGATGTACAGCTCATCTCCAAATTGTGCAATGCTTTTCTCCAGTACTGTAGTAATCGCTTCTCGGTCTCGTGCGAGTGCAGCTACAACAGCTCTACGAATACCTACCCCATCGCCAACACCAGCACCTGACGAAGATGCACACCAGTTGATAAGAACGTCTCTTCTCGTTTCGTCATTCAATGCGACTTCCATGAGAAGCCCAGCAACGGCAGAACACTTGTCGTCGGGGTGTGTGTCTTCCAGGCTCAGACGATTCAAGTATTTCTGTGAAAGGTGCTGAAGCAACATATGGAATACCTTCTTAGAAGTTCGATGTTGGCTGAGAGCAAGTTGTATGAAGGTTGAAATTGAGTTTCTTTTAGAAAGAAGAAGTCCGTCGATTGCGATTCTGATAAGAGTTTCTGCGGTATAAGCATCAGTAAGTATCAGTAAATGGAATTCTTATGTGTCTTACCTGAATGGTGCAGCGACAGCGACTTCTGGAACAACTCACAAGCGAAGGCCATTCCATCAGGTTCGGGCGATGAATGAACCCAAGACACAATAGCATTCCCCAGCCATGTGCTATATTTTAGTCCATCAGCAATCCAGTGAACCCCATCGTCGACTTTGTCGCGTCCCATGACTTCTAAAGCTTCCGCTGCGATTGACACAATCTGACCGTTCGAGAGAATTGATACAAGTTTCTGACACTGAACTCTTTGCAGCGCGACACTGGAAATTCCTTTGATCGATGTGCTCCATATCGTAGAGATTGACTGAGCACTACCAATAATGGAAGATAGAATACTCAGCAGAATGCCAGCGTTGATTGATAAGTCTGCTCTCCTCTCTTCTTTCCCCCCTAGCCGTGACTCTTGAATGAGCACTCGCAGTTGCGTGATGACGGCGTTAAGACCAGTCAGACTGCGAAGACAGCCAAGGAAAAGATCCGCATCTCGTGGAACTTCTGTTTTGCCCTTTGTATCATCTTCAATCTCTCCCTCAAGCAAAAGTGTCCAGTAATTTGATGCGATCTCTGAGACAAGCAAATGGATGATAGACGCACTCTTGGGACTGGGTGTTGAGAATGAGAAGTTACTCGATGCAGATTTTGGGTTATTTAGAAAATTCAGTATCGAAATAAGTGTATCGTAGTCTGGCTGACTTTTTAATGCATCGATGATTTCATCAGCCGTCGATTTGTCACTGATGCTGGCTGGTTTCTTTTGGGTAGAAGCTGGTTTAACCTCTGTGAAAAGTGGCTCAGGCTCATTCCGAGGTTTGAGATAGGTTGTGCTCACAGGGGTGAGAAGGTCGTCCATTCTAGTCTGTGCAGCTTGATTTGGCGGGCTGTCCACGAAATGTCATGTTGTTTGAAATTTGAAAGCTTGATGGAGGTATACATTATCGCCTAGTGTTTAGGTTTAGGTGCTCGAAAGCATTACTCACCTTGACCCCACCCTCACCGAGCTTCACCGAGCCAGCTCCAGGCAATGACGATCCTCCCCCACGCACGGATCCCTTCAGAGCTCCTTACCTTAGTAACCAAGCTGCGGACCACTCTCTGACCTTACACACATATCTCCGTGCGAACCTACTCACACATTCTTTTGGCTTGTTGTTCTTTTACTACAAAGTCTTTGGAAATCCTCAATATGGCTAGTGTGGCTCAGGAAGCTGCCGGCGGCTACGAAGACGCGCGATGGTAAGACCCTTTAGCTGGGAGCTGTTGGAGCTCTTGAAACCACAAGCAAACAACTGACCACAATGCAAGGAAATACCTCGATCAAGTCCGCCGTAACGCAGGACCATATACCGATCCCGATGCTACTGCACCGGAGTTTCTGGCGCAGTTCGAAACGTTCAAAGTTCTGTGAGTGTTGATGTGCACATGTAACATCCTATGAAAGCCATACTAATTTGTGTAGCGTCATGTCAGTCATCTCTCTTGAAAGACTCAAATGTCCGGCTCACTAACTTCCATAACACAGCGGCGCAGGAGGCCTAGGATGTGAAATTCTGAAAAATCTTGCCATGTCGAGATTCAGGAACATTCACGTAATAGACATGGGTCTGTAAATCGTCTTCTCTATTAAAGGTCGCTGGCTCACCTTGCTCTAGATACCATTGATATTTCCAACCTCAACCGCCAGTTCTTATTCCGAAAAGAAGATGTTGGCAAATACAAAGCAGAGGTTGCCGCTGCTTTCGTCCAAAAGAGAGTCAAGGGCGTCTCCATCACAGCCCACAACAATCGCATCCAGGACTTTGACGAGGAGTTTTACAAGCAGTTCCAGCTTGTAATTTGCGGACTAGACAGCATCGAGGCCCGCCGTTGGATCAATGCCATGCTTGTTTCTATTGCCGAAGACGCTGAAGACCCCGATGCGATAAAGCCCCTCATTGATGGTGGCACTGAAGGTTTCAAGGGACAGGCGCGAGTCATCCTCCCATCCATGACATCCTGTATCGAGTGCCAGCTGGATATGCACGCCCCGCGCGCCGCTGTTCCTCTGTGTACTATCGCCTCAATCCCACGACAACCCGAGCACTGCATTGAATGGGCCCACGTTATTGCTTGGGAGCAAGAAAAGCCATTCCCGAAGCTTGACAAGGATGACCCAGAGCATGTAACCTGGCTCTTCCAGAAAGCGCTTACTCGTGCGGAAGAGTTTGGCATCCCTGGTGTCACTTATTCGTTAACGCAAGGAACCATCAAGAACATCATTCCGGCCATCGCATCTACCAATGCTATCATCGCCGCTGCATGCTGCAACGAAGCTTTTAAAATCGCGACAACCTCGGCCCCCTGTCTTGGATTCGACGCAAACTATATGATGTATTCTGGCAATGATAGCATCTATACTTACACCTTCAAGCATGAGAGGAAGGACGACTGCCCTGTCTGTGGACGCCAGGCTCGCCCTCTTGAAGTCAACCCCAAGTCCACTCTGCAGGAGTTAATCGACTCATTCACGATTCGCCCCGAAGCGCAATTAAAGAAGCCATCGATCCGTGCTGAGGGAAAGACTCTATACATGCAATTCCCTCCAGGCTTGGAGGAG